AATCAAATAAAGGTGGTATCCCTGGTAGCGCGCCTGCTTCTGCTCCTCTTTCCGAAATAGCGATCCCTTCCTCTGTTGAGGCTAGGACTTAGTGGAGGGAAGTATCATTATCACAATCAGAAAGGATGCGCCTTTTTTCGCCGTCGTCATAGAATCAAATGGAATCTCGCGGATCAAATGATGAGTCGTTTGTGACTAGGCATCCGTTTTTAGACCTAGCTGATGTTATATTTGTGCTAAGTGGGTCAAATTAAAACCCCGGAAACAAGTTTTCGGCCAATTGGGTAATTAGGGTATTCTGACGCCGATGCCTGTGCGCGGGCGCCAGCAGGGTTTGGGCTGAGTGGATGTGATATTAGTGTTCAGGAGATCAGACCTCTCCAGGAGGTGCTCCATGATACGCTTTTTTACCCGAGTCTTCCCTTGAGGAAGAATTCGGTCAGAAACTGGCCTGATTTCGAATAATTGGAGTAGCAAAGGGTCAAATAGTGCCCAAACATTTATGGATGTCATGTCGAGTCGAAGCATAAGTCCTTCTAAGTCATCTGAGAACTATGCTTACCCAGCTCAGCACACAATACGGAATGCATTGCTAAAAAAGCATCCCACCGATTAAGTGCATTCTACCTAAAGAGATCGTCTTACAGAATTTTGGGCACGATGGGAAGGGATGGCCAGATCAGAAGGGCACTGGCAGATCAGCGTTTTTGAAGTTATTGTAAGCAAAACTCAAAAATAGTGTTTGATTAATAGCAGGGGTGACCATTGACAAGTTGAAATTGTAGTGATTTCAGGTCCTGTCACGGTAGGTACAACTTGTGTGGAATTTGGCGTTCGCCGGCGTTGGTCAGGTGTTGGTGTCAATCTGTGATCGTTTAGCTACTGATATGATCTTAATTTTCAGTTTTGTCTGCGTCCCTTGAAGGTGCCTACTAGTACAGTCTTATGTATGTCTTTGTCGTATGTCTTTGTAGTAATAATATCGCGAAGATGGCTTATACAAGCCATCAGAATATTCATCTTTTCCTTTGCATATGAGAGATTTCAGGCCTACTGATCGCTACGTTAAGTGTTAGAGGGTGCATAAGGGTAATTTCGAGGTCGCTTCTCTTTTTTTTCCATCGGCCTGTAAAACTGATCAATTACTGTCACACATCCATTGTGCCTCGAATCTAATTGTATTTTTAGGTCCTCTTTCTGAGAAGAAGGTTCTTCGGTATCGAAGTGGCGTTGGGGGATGTCGCTTATATCGACTGTGCTGATATTCTTTTCACATTATGCGAAGAGCGAAGAGTACTGAAATATCAACTTGCATTTGGGAGAACAACTTCGAAACATACGATGTTTAGAGAGTTAGCTAAGCAATTTGTTTGTTTCAAAGAAGAATTAGTCTATCTGATTCGTTTCTTGCCGCACACCGTAGGGTGGTCGGAACATTCCTAAAAAAGTGTTTCTGCACGATTTTCTCATTGGATTTGTAATGTTGTAAGTCTTTGCTGTACACATAAGAAGTTGCTTAAATTTGGTAGCTTTATATTAATAGTAATTATAAGTTAATGAATTTTGAACGGCACCTCCTTGACTGGCAAGTGCATTATTTTCTGGTTTGCTGGTGTAGCAAAGGCCCATTTCTTTTGATAGTTAGAAGATGACGTGTTACGTAGCAGGTTAATGAAGAGGAACCTGAAATATCGTGTTATGTGACGTCAGTGACGCGACATCTCTTAAGAGGTAATGTACTGGACCGCGTACCTGTGCTACATCAGCACCTTCTTTGTTTTGTTTGAAATGGTAGAAGAATTAGATCTGTTAATGTGAGATATAATTCTTGTAACAATAATCCGTACGGGCACTAAAATCTTGTTTGATCTGTTTCGCTCGAATGAGCTTGCTTTTTTGTATGCAATGAAGTTTTTACATTGAAAAGACTGACTTGTTGTTCCCGTGTTACATACGTAGCATACTGGCCGGAATGTTGTTGACTTTTTCCCTGCCCCGTCAAGGGGCGTGTCAGGCAGTATGAGTGTGCTCTAACGCCAGTTCCGTCCGCTACCAGATATTAACACATTGAACGCCGCGTGAATTGTCGGCAATACACGCGCATACTCCCGTTTCTCGCGTTTGTGTATTGCCCACAATTCACGTTTTGTGGGTCGGTTTTGTGGGTATGAGTGCGACTTGAACCATTCTCACCGAGTATATGTTCAGTGAGCTTTGCTTATGCTTAGTTCTTGATGGCGCGAAATAAGCTGCTCATTGAAGTAATTCACAATACATTTCATATTGTTTAATTAATTATGATAACAACACTTATGTCGTCGAAACTGACGTTTAGATCTTCTACGTTGTCCAGAATCTATGCAGCTAAAAAAGTCATCATTCATACTGAACAATGTAGAAATGAGCGCAAAAGTAACCAGAATGAACGTGTAAAGGGGCATGCGGCACAAAGACTCCCGTTTCGCGCGTTTGTGTATTGCACGCAATTCGCGCGGAGACGCAGGAAGTAAAAACGGGAGTCGCCGCAAAAACTCCGCGGCGTTCAATGTGTTAAAGCGGTTAAGCGATAACAAGTGGCAGAAAACGAGTGATACGTAGGATATAATACAGTCTTGTCACTTGTTTGCTTCAACAACTATTGGAGAAGGGTTTGGCACCTCGCCGAAACCACCGGCGTGGCACGCCCATCCGTCCGCAGCGAACTGAACTATGAATCGAAAAACCGGGCCATCTCGTCAATTCCTGCAAATAGATAGTCGTTTCGGAAGAATTCTGTGAGGCGACGTGTGTCTATGAGGTACACTCCTTATCCCTGAAACAAAGGTGGCTTTTGAGCATGGCATAGGACGGGTCACTCGTGGGATGCTTCAATTTGAAACAACTGCCATCTTGTTCTGTGTTAGATGTAGACATGATTACGACTGTTGCCAAAATGAAAATATCTCACGAAAACCTGGGCCGCCGCCATTTTAAAATTAAGTACGCAGCCACGCCTACCCGATCTCAGGGATTTCGAGTATACGTGCCCGTAATCGTTTCACAATATACTAGCATAGAGGTATGTAGAAGAAAAATGAAAGAAACCCTCCCTCGAAAAAGCGGTAAGAAATAGTGTAGGAAATTTAGTTGAACGAAAAGTTTCAAATCCACACAGTTTCTCCAATTAGGCGACGTCCAGTTGAATGAAGGGAAGATATGACTGTAAGCGCGGAGACTAGGCTCTGTCTAATGTCAAAAAGCGGAAGTGCTGGGTGTGTGAACCAAGTTCCTCGAGCGATAGAGAAGTTTCCGCGTGCCGCGAAAATTTTTTTTATTCTTTCTATTATCCAACCCCGTGGAGTCGGTCAGCTCTCCGTCAGCTCAAGTGCTTCTAGGACAGGCAAAACCGAATAATCTATCGCCAGGATTATTGCGAATTTGTTGTCAATCTCGTCTTTTTCGTGCTCTTTATTTCGATCCCATTTTTGCTTTATATTTTCTTTTACTTGATTTGCATGCTTTTTATATGAAAATGTCTCATCAGTACTTGGTGCACCTGTTACGCGAACTCCATGAGAGACCGCTGATCGAGTGGGAAGGTGATTGAGCAAAATTCCTGCGCTCCTATGAAATATTCTTGCGCCTGCTACCATGTACGGGCTACATGTATGACCCTCGCCGCGGGAAAATAATTCGAACTCGCTGCAGCTGAGCGCGTTCATTTTTGCGCGACGGCTCGTTTTAGCGTCCAGTTTCAATTTCCTTTTTTACTGTATTTACAACAGTTAGAGAGGGAACCATTGCGAGGAAGGACGACGAGTTTTTTAGCGCGCCGAAGGGGTAGCTGTGCTGTGAGTGGGCTTAATTTCTACCTCGTGGCCGTATTTCCTTGGGTGAAAAGCTTTGATTGTTCATATTGAATGAAAATGCTTGCAGTGGACCTGACAGCACCAAAATGCTCCAGCATATTGAATAGAACCTCCTTGCCTCATTGGCACAGATTCCATTCCTCCAGCTCGTAACTGTTTCTGAATAATTGTCCCCTTTATTAGTGAGAGATGTTCGTCGTGAATTCAAATGCACTGATGCCCTGCACTCAAGCCTCTTTTTTCTTTGCCTCCTTATCCAGAACAGGCAGGGTATAAGAATTCAACATTTTTCTGCAGAATGGTGGTGGTCAGGAGGACTTGTTGTCTTTGTGGACTTAAAACCAACATTCACACTATGAAGCAGTCGTGGCCATCGAAAAATCGGAATATCGTTATGATGGCATCGCTTTCACTAAAAGGAGTTGTGGACAAGGCAGATGTGGACCCGCTGGTGGAAAGGCTTAGCGTGTCTCACAGACCTGCTTGTCAATCTCCATGTGATAGAAGCGGTAAGTTCCAAGTACGGGATGGCTCTGTTTCGTCCGCAATCCATGTCGTCAGGCCGCTTTCATACTTTGCGCGCGGTTGAAGAGAATCGACGGTTTCGGAGACTCCGCTGGAGCGCTTGCGGGCTGAAGCAATGGGTGGGGGAGCAGGCATTTTAGCGTCGAATCTCCCCGATCGCCGATTATCCCAAATCGCAGAATCCCCTCCGTTGCAAAGTATGAACGCGGCACTGTAACCCATACTACGACGACAGGATGTGTCATTTCTCGTCAGTGACGATGAAACCAAGTGTTGCGTCATTACCAAGCTGATTCTTCGTTCTGAAGCCGGATAACATTGCTTGGGATAAGGTTTTTGCGTGAACCTAGGGTATAAGGGCGCTCTCGTGCGACTAAAGTGAGAAAGATTTCGCATTTTGAGAAAAGTGGTTGACACCCGCGCCCTCTCCCCTACATTGAACTAGCGGTGCGCTTTATTGGTATTTCATTCAGTTCAGTTTATTATCTGCAGGCTCAGTATATATGTGCTGAATTGGCAGCTAATGGGAGTCGCTTATCGTATCGCAAGAGTCCCAGCGGTAAAAAGATAGCACATGTCAATCTTCGAGATATTTCATCTTCACAGATTGTCTACGTGATCAATGGCATGACTAACGTATGACTTTCTATTGTATGTAATACGGGAGGACACTCCACATAAAACTTCAGGACAATGTGATCATAACCGCTGAAGATGTGTGGAAGTTTCTGAACATCTCTCTGCAGAGCTATCCTAATTCTTCTATATGGCCTGAACAGACTGGAACGGCGAAGGTCAAGGAGCGATTTTTAAGGGGTTCTTTTTGCATCGCGTAATAGCCAAAATTCCAGGGGACGTTGGGAGAATTCGCACCCAACTGGAGAAAAGAAAAATCTTCAGCGCCTATCGTGCCAGCTACTGGAAGAGAAATCAACGTGATTCAGGTACATGGAGAATGCGGACGAAACCTCTGTTCTGTTAATGAAAGCAAAGGTTTTTTGAGCAAAAGTCTGTTTTTTTGAAATGCAACAGTAAATGATTCCAGGTCCCCTATCTCAAACCTGCAAAGAATTCAAGTTGCAACCCTGTAGAACACTATATCGCGTTGGAGAAGACGGACGAAGCTGATTTGCAGAGGTACTACCTCGTGCAAGGTACTTTGCTAATGACGCTGTTCCGATTCTGTCCTGAATGTGGAGAGCGTCTGGAAGGAACGCAATTGAAACCGGTTGGGACTGCAGCAGTTGTTCAATTTGAATGTGGACGTTGCTCCCGTTCGATGCCTGTGCAAAAGTGGACGAGTCAAGAGCGAGTTGTCGATCACTCGAGGGAACGAATGTTCAAAGGGAACGTTGTGGCAGCTGTTTCAGCTGTCACCGCAGGTCTGAAACTCGAGGTGAGCAGTTAACGTTGTTTCGATGAGCTCACGCTTATTTGTTGGAGGGTTTTTTAGGATCTGGTGCGGTGGGCGAAGCTATTGAACTTGGCCATGTTTTCGGAAACGTTCTTTTATAAGGTGTCCGAGTGGACAAACTCAGCCATGAAAACCATCTATGATACGCAAAAGCACCTTGTTACCGAGACCGGTGAGAAGACTGCAAATGAGCGTCACTATTCCCTCAATAGAAGTCATTTTAGATGACACTAGTACGCATAAGAATGTTGAAGACGGAAGCGAAGAGAACCCGCAAAATCATCTCGTTACGGAACTGGGCGGTGAGAGTACAAATTAGCGCTAATTATTCCCACAATATAGAAAATTTTAGGCGACACTAGTACGCATAACGGTATTGAAGACGGAACAGAAGGGAACGCACAAAGTCATCACGTTACGGAATCGGGTGAGAATTACAAATAAGTGTGACGATCCCTATAATATATACCATTTTCACTTTAAATCGGACACTTTTCAAACCAAATCGGACACTTTTCAAACCAAATCGGACACTTTTCAAACCAAATCGGACACTTTTCAAACCAAATCGGACACTTTTCAAATCAAATCGGACACTTTTCAAATCAAATCGGACACACCCCTACCAAGGGCAGTTGATAACTAGACCACACTAGGTACTGCTGCAAGCCCCGCCCAACACCCCGCCCACCTTTCCAGCGCGGTCACGGTTTTCCAAAATGTTTTATGAAATCTGCTTCTTCGACTTTTTCTCACTTTTGCTAGTTGCACACACACTTCAACTGAAAAGGATTGATACAGATCTGACTCCGCCCACTTCACAATCAAGTGACGTAAGTTCTGAATTTTTATAACTTCTTTCGACGTCGTTTTTTCACATTCAATCTTCACAAAACGAATATAGCCATGCTTTTACACACTAGCCCCGCCCCTCTGACCACGCCCACTTTCGTTTTTCGCGGAATTTTGATTTTTCTTCCGAATTTTCACTTTTTTAGGCTGTGACAAGCGGCCCCGCCCACTAATGGAAGCTCCGCCCACTTTGTAGAAGCCCCGCCCACTTTTCAAAAATGATGCAGATCGGCGAGCTAGTGACCGTACTAGCAGGTTATGGCCTCTCCCGTCACCCGGAACAAAGTACACTCTAGTTCGCTGCGGACGGTTGGGCGTGTCAGCCAGTATGAGTGTGTCACCCTGCCGTTCTCTGCCTTCTTGTTGAAACGCGCATGCGACAAAAAGTGGTAGAAAACGAGTAGTACGAAGGATATGATACCGCGCCAAACGCTGCCGCACGGGCACGCCCAACCGTCCGCAGTGAACTACACTATATCCCTTTTTTGTGGTCTTTCCCTTTTTTTCATTCTATGTGACGGGAGAGGCCATAACCTGCTAGTACGGTCACTAGCTCGCCGATCTGCATCATTTTTGAAAAGTGGGCGGGGCTTCTACAAAGTGGGCGGAGCTTCCATTAGTGGGCGGGGCCGCTTGTCACAGCCTAAAAAAGTGAAAATTCGGAAGAAAAATCAAAATTCCGCGAAAAACGAAAGTGGGCGTGGTCAGAGGGGCGGGGCCTAGTGCTAGTGTGTAAAAGCATGGCTATATTCGTTTTGTGAAGATTGAATGTGAAAAAACCGACGTCGAAAGAAGTTATAAAAATTCAGAACTTACGTCACTTGATTGTGAAGTGGGCGGAGTCAGATCTGTATCGGTACCAATCCTTTTCAGTTGAAGTGTGTGTGCAACTAGCAAAAGTGAGAAAAAGTCGAAGAAGCAGATTTCATAAAACATTTTGGAAAACCGTGACCGCGCTGGAAAGGTGGGCGGGGGTGTTGGGGCGGGGCTTGCAGCAGTACCTAGTGTGGTTGTTATCAACTGCCCTTGTCCGATTTGATTTGAAAAGTGTCCGATTTGGTTTGAAAAGTGAGAATGGTATAGTTCATTCAAGGTGACGCTAGTGCTCACATGGATGCTGAAGACGGAGGTATGGAAATTGACGGAGAAAAAGCAATGATGGAGGAGTGTGAACTACCTGAGAAGCTCCTTCAGCAAGAAGTTGAAGCCTGGTTTCGAAATCTCCTCCACTACATCTATTGGGAGACCTAATACTGGCTGAAGTTTTCAAGGAACGGCTAACTGCATGGGAGGAGAAAGCCACTTCTTCGGGTGCCGAACAATAACTTAGAGCGGGAAATGTGACTCCAATAGAAATTTGTTTCGCAGCTTCTGCAAACTGCAACTTCTCATTTCTGGCTTTTCTCTACCTCTTCGTGTACGCTGCGAGATTTCGGGTTCGACGCAAGTGGTGCTCTTCAAAGATGAGCCGGCCATCTCGGTAGACGGGACGGCGTACGGGTATCCTATCTTCCAGCCGCGCTTCTATGCACTCGACCGGAGAAAATGGCAGTCGTGGATCCATTTCCCTCGCTCATGACAAGGTCCACAGTCCACAGGAGATGAACATACATTTCTCTCAAATAAGGGTTTCTCAGCTGCTGTAAGCGTGCGACCATTTTGTAGTCTCTTACGTGTTTGACTAAAATAATTTGTAAAATGTTAAAGTGGGTACTGATGAGGGCGCAAGATCTATTGAACAATCGATCTTCTAAACCACTCATAGTATCCTTGATCGTTTCTACACTCATTCCAGTATTCACAGAGGAGCTGGCCCGTCACCGAATCTATCCCTAGGTAAGCTGCAGCGTCCAAAGCGAACAAGACAAGATTTGTACATAATACAAATTCCGTAGATCATTTACCACATCTTACCGTCTCTTTCTTGACTAGGTTAAGTAGCAGCTAAACCTTGACTAGAGAGGGTCCGAGAAGCTGGAGGTACCATACTTTTGAACAACTAGGGGCCCCTATTCGGTTCAAGACTTGCCAATTCCTACTGACTCACAAGTCTCACATATTTGTCAACTTTAAACAATGCTCCGTTCATCAGAATGCTTTGTGAAGTTCTATGTATTGAACAATCCTGAATTCTTATGTTAGTTACTGCGCCGTCATCGTCAAATTCCGACTTCATTTTGATGAAGCTTTTATTGCTTTCCACTGGTCCATGAATTTGTACAAATGTATTGTCGGGTCTTTATTCTGTAAGGAAACTGCCTTCAATAGTGAGGTGACATTGTGAGCTGTCACTATCTATCGTCTCTATTGGGCAGCATTTCGCTTTATATTTTGCGATGTTATAGGCTTTCGGAAAGTCTGCATCATAAAACTTTTCCTCTTCATAATTTTGTCATTCGATGGGTCATTCTTTAGATCTGGAGCTATATACATGAGAAGTTGCTTGAAATTTGGTAGCTTTGTATCAATAGTAATTATATATACCATTTTCACTTTAAATTCACCACTTTTCAAAGCAAATTCACCACTTTTCAAACCAAATTCACCACTCTTCTTAGACCAGGCAGTTCACCAACCAGATCACGCCAGACACCACCGCGAACCCTGCCCCGACGGTCACGCCTACTTGTCAGCGCGGACATAGACACATGACTGACTCCGCCCATTCTTTAAAGTTTGTTGCGAACTTCAAATCTTCATAACTTTTTCAATTTTTAATTTCACATCCACTCTTCGCACAACGAAGGTACTCGTAGACGCGCATTCATGCACCGGCAATTCAGGCTCCGCCCCTTGGCCACGCCCACTTGCTTTTTGCGGAATTTTGATATTTTTTCAAAATTTTTGCATTTTTGGACTGCTCCATGAAGCCCGCCCACTGTGAGAGGCTCCGCCCACTTTGAAGAAGCCCCGCCCACTTTTCAAAAATGGTGCAAATCGGCAGTATAGAGCCTTGGCTTGCATGCTAGGGTCTCGTCCGTCACTCGGAACAAACTTTGCCTGATTTATCTTGTCTTAAAGTGGGCGGAGCCTCTCACAGTGGGCGGGGCTTCATGGAGCAGTCCAAAAATGCAAAAATTTTGAAAAATATCAAAATTCCGCAAAAAGCAAGTGGGCGTGGCCAAGGGGGCGGAGCCTAAATTGCCGGTGCATGAATGCGCGTCTACGAGTACCTTCGTTGTGCGTGCGAAGAGTGGATGTGAAATTAGAACTTGAAAAAGTTATGAAGATTTGTTATGAAGATTTGAAGTTACGCAACAAACTTTGAAGAATGGGCGGAGTCAGTCATGTGTCTATGTCCGCGCTGACAAGTAGGCGTGACCGTCGGGGCAGGGTTCGCGGTGGTGTCTGGCGTGATCTGGTTGGTGAACTGCCTGGTCTAAGAAGAGTGGTGAATTTGGTTTGAAAAGTGGTGAATTTAAAGTGAAAATGGTATATAAATGAATTTTGAATTGTACCTCCTTGACTGGCAAGTGCAGTATTTTCTGGTTTGCTGGTGTAGCACAGGCCCATTTCTTTTGATAGAAGATGACGTGTTACGTAGCAGGTTAATGAAGAGGAACCTGAAATATCGTGTTATGTGACGTCAGTGACGCGACATCTCTTAAGAGGTAATGTACTGGACCGCGTAGCTGTGCTACATCAGCACCTTCTTTGTTTTGTTTTCTTGAAATGGTAGAAGAATTAGATCTGTTAATGTGAGATATAATTCTTGTAACAATAATCCGTACGGGCACTAAAATCTTGTTTGATCTGTTTCGCTCGAATGAGCTTGCTTTTTTGTATGCAATGAAGTTCCTACATTGAAAAGACTGACTTGTTGTTCCCGTGCTTATATACGTGGCATACTGGCCGGAATGTTGTTCACAAAGTTGCACCCTTATTCGCTGCGCTTGAAGGGGCGTGTCGGGCAGTATGAGTGTGTTACAGCGCCTATTCCGTCCTCTACCAGCTAAAAGCGGGTACGCGACAACAAGTGAAAGAAAGCGAGTAATACGAACGATATAATACAGTCTTGTCGCTTGTTAGCTCCAACAACTGTTGAAGAGCAGGTTCTGCACCGTGCCGAAATCACCCGCCTGACACGTCCCCTTCCTCCGCAGCGAACTGAACTATTAATCTGAATACTGCGCCATTTCATCAATTCCTGGAAATAGGTTGTCGTTTCGGAGGAGTTCTGTGAAGCGAGGTAAGCAGGTGAAGTACCTTACAACCTCGCAGATGAGTTCGGGGCGGTTAAAGTTTGCCAAAACGCGGTATTGGCTCGTGAGCGCTGCTGATCATTCACGGACAGTGCGGCCGTGGCCTATTAGAAATGGTTTCGCTTCGAAGGCAACTCCTTGTGGGTTTGCATCCCGTTGGCGCGAAAATTTTTGCTTCGTCTCCTATAAAGCTTTTACTCTAATTTTCGAAATTCTTCCGAGTTTACGACCCAGCAGAGCAAGTAGATCAAGTAGATCAAGTATATGACGTACTCGATCGAGTATGGATTTGGTCACTATCTGCCCTCTCTGAACTCATTACCCATCGACAATTCGAAGTTTTGGCCAGAATCACAATTTGGCCAGAAACTCGTTCCTGGGGGTATTTTGACCCCCCCCCCCTGAGCCCGAATATCACATCCGTTTGACGCGAAAACGATCGGTTACCTCGTCCAGTTGATGATCACAACAACGTGAAGGCAAGCGTTTTCTCGTCGAATGTGATGTTCATGTTCAGTTGGTGAGAATAGCTCCAGGAACGAGTTTCTGGCTAAAACTTCGGAAGGTCGGATGGGTAATGAGTTCAGAGAGGGCAGATAGTGACCAAATCCATACTCGATCGAGTACGTCATATACTTGATCTACTTGATCTACTTGCTCTGCTGGGCCGTAAACTCGGGAAGAATTTTGAAAATTAGAGTAAAAGCTTCTTATAGGAGACGAAGCAAAAACTTTCGCGCCAACGGGATGCAAACCCACAAGCATTTGCTTTTGAAACAAGCCCGTTAGGCGCGTTTATACTTTGCGGCAGCGTAGCGTAGCGCTTAGCGTTTCACGAGCGTTTCACTAGCGTTTCGCTAGCGTTTGCCAGCGGCGGGGCTAGAGAGTATAGAAGAGTAGGAGAGTACAAATACTCTCCTACTATCCCATAGTCTCTACTCCCTGCCGCTGCAAGCGCTAGCGAAACGCTAGTGAAACGCTCGTGAAACGCTGGGAGCGCTAGATCGATAGCTATACATCCCGTGCCCTCGCTACGCTAGCGTACGCTGGTGACGCTGGGAACGCTAGATCGATATCTATCCTTTCCCCGACACTGCCGCTGGCGTACGCTGGAAGCGCTACGCTACGCTGCGCAAAGTATGAACGCAGTCTTACCACTAGGCCACGGTGGCACTGCCTAGCAATCGATCAGCAGCGCTTACGAGCCAAAACTGAGTTTTCGCAAACTTTGACCGCCCAGAACTCGTCTGGGAGGTCCCCGTAGCACTTTTAATCTGCATATTCGTAATCAGCATTCGAGGCTCTATCGATGTACCTAGGTCTCCATTCAAAGTTCCATGGGAAGTTGAAACCATTCCCTTGTTTGAGGAAAACTGGGTAAACCCCACTCCCCGGCGGAGAAAAGCGGTAAGAATTAGCGTGGGATGTATGATAAAACGAGGAGTTTCAAGCTCGCGCAGTTCCTCTCCAATTGCTCCAATCAATTTGAAGGCGGAAAGATACGACTGTAAGGACTAGGACTGCCTTACAGCCCCCCGCCGGAGACTAGGATTCTATCCCATGTCGAAAGCGGAAGTACAGGGTGTGTCCAGACTTCCTTGAGGCAAAGACGAGAAAGTTTCCGCCTGCAGTGAGAAGTTTTCTAACTACTACTTGAATATTTGGCACCAAGGCTAAGGACTTCAATGGAGGTTTTAACAAAATGGCCTCCTGTGTAGTCGGTTAGTCAAGTGCTTAGACAACGCATGACGAAATAATCTTTCAACCAAAGTGTTGCAAATTTGTGGTTGTGATTTTTCTTTTTCGTGTTTTTTTGTTAAAATTTTCGCCGATTCTTCGACTTTATCTTTCTTTCATTCTGCCTTTTGCATGCTTATTTTATGAATATTAATATGTAGAAAATGTCACATTAGTTACTTTGTGATGAAGGCCCCTGTTACGCGAAATTCTTGGGAGA